TGGAAAATAATGTGTTTTTTTAACTTTAAACCGCATAAACACATTTCATTACACCAAATACACAAAATAATGTTCTTTTTAGCAGCATCATATGACCCCTTTAAGGAAGGAAGGAATTATCACAAACAGAAAAATTATTAGAAGCCTTTCTTTTTCTCATGATTTCTCTTATGTTCATGAATGTATTTTGTAAGAATACAAATAGTTAACAGAATAAACATGTTTAAATTGTATAATGTGCACCAAAGATTTTTTTTTCAAGATATCGTTTTTGCTGCTAAATTATACAGCAGTATTGATATTCTGTAGTGGTGTAGAAAAAAAATAGCGCTGGTTTTGGATCGGTATTGGCCAATTCTTAGAATTTGGAATACTCTATGTAATCTTACACTGCAAAATAACAACTCAAAAAGATTCAAAGATAACATCATAATTTTTTACTGAACCCTTAAATTAATCAATTATATAATGAAAGCCCTAAAACAGACAATTAATTGCACTATTTTTAGACAATTAATCGTCAGCCAAATTTCATAATCGTGACAGCCCTAAATTTATGTATATAGTGTATATAGTAGGGGTGTTCATTTCGGTTATTTTTCCTAACCGACGCTCGTTAACCGATTATTACCCGTTAACCGACAAGATTATTTTAAATTAGGATTGAATTAAATTAAAAAGGATAAGTGTCTGTGACTCGTTAAAAATACTAACATTTGTTTCCTGGGGATTAATTTTACATGCGCAAAAAGCAGCAAACAACAGAACATGAGGATTCACATGGTCTTCATATCACATCACGCACCTGCAGCGCTTCTGCGAGCGGAGAAAAACATAATAAAGCAAAATAATATTTAATGAATAAATAGGCCTATACGAGAAATATATTTTTACTTAAATAATAAATTTTAAAAAATTTAAGAAGAACTGTGCAACAAGTAGCCTAGTATGCAGAGCTTCGGTTCGTTTTTGTGCTGCGCGAAAGGAAACCAGACGGCAGAAAGCGGCATCCTATTTTTCTTTAGGCTTATTTTACAAAAGCACAAAGATTTGTTTTTATTGTGAATGTACACAAATAAAGGCAAACCTTTTACAATTCCGATTATCTTTAGGACTAAAAGGAGTAGTTGCTTCCACTGTTAGAAGGAAAAAATTCAAGTGATTGCGCCGGCGCCGCATGCGCACACAGTTATGCTTTGCTACCTTGACAATGCAGCCTGTTCATTGTCATAATAAAATACAGTCAGTCAAACATATGGAAAAAAGCACACTGCTCAGTTTAAATATGTAGGAAAATCTGTACCGTTAAGCGTTATCACCTTACCGCCGTGATGTTATGCAAAACATTTTGTTTTATGTGGATATTGGAACACGAGTGAGGCTACATAATAAATAATAATTTGCCATTCAAATACATTCGCGAATACGGAAACATTTGATTTTGTGTCGAAAACAAAATCATTTAGCCTAAATGAATATTTTTTATAATAACAAAGATAAAATAATGACAAAGATTTTTATCTTCGCCCACTTTGGCCTAAATGTCTGCTATTCTTTTTTATTTTAAATTCTTTTACCTTGTAAGGCTTTTTTTTAAATAGGGAAATTCGTTTGGCTGTACTGCTCAGACAACTTGCAAAATAGTAAAACCAACATGACAAAGAATCGTGATATATATAAAAAAAATAATAATAATTGTGATATGATATTTTTGAGTGTGTGTAGTAGATGAAACTGCTCTGCTCATTCACATAGTCACGCAGTCTTTTTGCCCTTTAATATTTATAGACACTTGTCCATATCTCAATTTAATTAAGTGTACAGCCCTTCTTTTGATTTACTCAAACAAAATGTGCGAAATTCAGTCACATTCTGTAAATTCCATTTTTGAGACTGGATTCTGTGATTCCATCCGTTTTATCTGCATCTTGGAAATCATCATAGGGCACTGGGTTTCCACTGCAAGACACTTCATGTATTAGCAGGAGGTGATGGCTGCTGTGCCATCTGTGCCGTTTTGATTGGACTGATGCAGCTCATCTGTCTTTGCCACAACTGTGTAATACAGCGGTTGCATATTAAGACAATGCAGTTCTTTGCAGTGTGCAGTGTAAGAACATAATCTGTCGGGCCTTTCTGAAACAAAGCCGCTTCATGTTCATTGATTTCTAAGTTTCTTAAATCCCACTCTGGATCCACCCTAGTGTTATTTAAACTGTTTCCAGTTGTGTCTGCATTGTCCAGGGCAGCTCACTGAACTTTTGAGGTTTGACCTAAGACAGAGTTCGTCTTGTTCATCGCTTTCCCTGCTTATGTTTTATTCAGTAGCTGAACTACCAACTGCCCTCTTTTCCAAAATACAATTCTCCCAGCACTCCAGGCTGCTTGGTTCCAGGGAACAAACAGGGGATTGAGAGTCGGGACAGATGTGTTTTTCAGCTTCTGAAACCGCCAACGACTGCTCTTTGCAATGCTCAACCTATTTTGCATGGGCAAGTCTGTTGTGAGCGTGTTAAAGTGGGAATTTTGACCTCAAGTCAATTTCGAGTCAACCATTTGAAACAAATCTACACAAGATAGTCTTGCTCCTTTCACTGGCCAGCCAAGCATTCCTAAGCCATAATGAATGAGGGAGTTTGATGGTCTTGCGCATGCTGCAGTCTCTCCTGCGTAGTCTCAGGCTGCGTCCCTCAAGACGGTATTGGGTTTCTGCGCTTGTTTATTTACTCCTCCTGTCGCTCTTCTACTTTCAGTTGCCCCTCGTCATGGCTTACAGTCTCTTGGTAAAGTTGCCTCTGCACGGCGCATGCCCCCCCCAGCCAACTTGCCTAGTTTGAAGGCGGAGAACAAAGGTAACGACCCCAACGTCTCGCTCGTTCCCAAAGACGGCACAGGATGGGCAAGCAAGCAGGAACAAGCAGACCCAAAGAGGTGAGGCATGCTCACCATTCTAAATGGGAGCTACATTACATTATTCTTTGTGTAATTTAACACACAATAAATATAAAACCCCTACCAGCTCCATCACCATCAGTATAACAGTCTGCACTTTGAAAAAGTGCTCCGTTAACGGACAATGTGCTCTAATGGTGCATCGTTTTCACTATGGACCCCCCAGATTCTTAAATCCGTTTGTTTGTACAGAAAAATCACATCAAGTCTGGTTTTGATTGGACTGTAGAAAACTCAGGCAAAGGCATAATTATCTTTGGAGACCTTCCACTCTCTGCTCTCTGTAAATGCAGTCTGATTGGATACGTGTCTATGCCTGCCATCTAATGTCTGTTGTTTTTGTTTTTTCCCTGTAGTACCGATGTATTGTCAGCAGTGCAGCCGGAGTCGCAGCAGCCTGTGGTCTCACAGACGTCTGCGCCGAGCATGCCGAGAACACCCCCAGCTCAAGAGGTGCCATCACACAAACATGAATAATGTCCAACATTATGCACTTGTTTTTCAACAAGTCTGAGCTAATGAAGCCCGCATCTCACAGCTGTAGTTGTTGTATGACCAGATACATAAAAGTGAACATGTTTAAAGTCAAATGAACTCAGGATTTTTGGCTTAAATGTACATTAATTAATTATTCTTTTTGTTACTCTGGTACATCGTTTGGTTCTTGACAATTCTGTATGTATCTTAGGCCCCAACTCAAGCTCTAGCCGCAGGGCCAAGGTCCTGGGCTCCGGCCAGTGTTACACATGGAGTACAAGGAGATGGTAAGATACAGTACCAAGAGGACAACTCACTATGTGTACAGTGTTTGAAACTAAAAAATTGAGATTGGTGGGCTACTGTTTCAAAGTAGTAAAAGGGTTTCCTATTTAAAATATTGGTTTAATTATAAGACTTTTTTTAATCAGCAGTATTTCATAAAACCAAATTAGGGTGATGAACTTGAAATCGAACATTAGTTGAATTACTCTAATTAGGACTAATGATAAAATTTCTCAGTAAGGAATATTAAGAAATGTAAAGTTATGGTTGTTTCAGTGCAAAATATCAGTGGACACTTCCTGTAAAACTATTGCTGTTAATCTTTGTTTCATCATGTTATGCTTGGACAAGAGAAGTGACGTTTGTAATGAAGGATCTTCTTTATACATCAAAGATATTCAATTCCCTTCGCTTTCCTTCACAGGTGGAAAGGGATCAAACCAACCGTCGCCATTCTCTCGCGAGGAATTTCCCACCCTGCAGGCGGCTGGAGACCAGGACAGAGTTGGCAAAGAACAGGCCACTGCAGATCAGTGGTATGGGCCAGGACCAAGCCTCCGCCCCCAAAGTAAGCATGATGGCCCTTTTCTTCTTTCGATAATTGTTGTGGGGATTTGTGTCTTGGAGCATGTGGTATTCATGTTATATCTGTTATCTTCTAGTGCTTCTGATTCGTACTGGCTCACATGTTCTCAGCAGTTCCTCAATTAATAATTTGTTGCTTTATGTTCCAGACGTAACAAGCTGGCGGGATGGTGGGGGCCGGGCATTGGCACCCACCCTGGCTGGGGAGGCAGTTGCGGAGGGCGGTGCTGGGGGAGCCATGGTGATGGAGGGTGCTGCTGGGGCCCCTCCCATCCCACAGCAGAATGCATCTTCTCATGGGCCGCCTAGAACTTCCCCAACCGGCAACCCCGCACTTCCCCTCCCCCAGCCACCTATTGGCCCGCAGTTCCAGGCTTACAGAGGCATCATGCCTCCCTTCGTAAGTTTTATAACATTTTCATTTTGGCCCATCTGTAGAGAATGTCTAAAACTGTGATTGATTTGTTCAGTGCATTCATAGCCTTTCTGTTCTTTCTGGATGTTTTTCTCTAGATGTATCCACCATACCTGCCCTTCCCACCCCCTTATGGTCCACAGGGACCGTACAGGTACCCACCCCCAAATGAGGCCCCTAGGTAAGAATATTTATATTTATACTGAGTAGGCTTGCCACCATAGACGCACACCAATAATATACTAATATAGCACTTTTATACTAATATAGCATATTATTGCTCTTTTGTTGGTGGCGGTCGCACTGGTGCGACCACCGCGTTGGTCAACTCATAAGCGCTTCAATTTCTGTTGCATATGAGAAACATCAAAGGGCAAACGAAACAGCGCTTCGAGAGTATACCTTCTCAGCTACAGCAAAAATGTCGTGCATATTGAGGAAACGATGGATGGTTTTCAAGCGAAAGTCAAGTAAAAGACCGCTTCTTAAACCAGAGAATGTGAACATGCTGGTATTCTTGTGGGGGGAAAAAACATGCAAGCACTGTCACACCGTTAGTTTTACTTTTCGCGACCAGCTGAGAAAGTTAGTTGCAAAAGAGCGACCAGTGGGAAGAATGAGTCTGGAGCCCTGATATGCATTATACAGAGGCAAAATACCATCGAAAGACAGTAAGTTCCCCTCAGACATACATATATATAAACTCCTACCCCTAACTGAATCGCGATTTGTTTAGCATCTCAACCGATTTGAATCATCACATATTTGAATCGATTTTCAACCGGCTCGCGGTTAATCGTTACATCCCTACTGAGTAGAAATTAATCTACATTCATTCATTCATTAATTCAATATTTATTTCCACAGTCATCCAGTTGGCTTTCCTAACTTTCTTCCAATTACTTCTTGCCAGGTTTTCTCGGTCACAGGGTGGAGTAGGGCCAGATGGGCGGCCCCCTGGAGGCCCCCGGGGTGAAGTGGTAAAACGCCCATCCATCCTCAAACAGGATGACCTGAAGGAGCTGGATGAGCTGGACCATGATGGAGATGAGGGCTGGGCTGGTAAGAGGAATGCTTTCCATTACTCTGGCACATTTTACCCAGCATTTTTATTGCTCTTTCAATATTGGTATAGAGGTACAACGTATAACGACAGCGTAGTAACTAGGGATGTCAACGATTAATCGACAATCGATTAATTGTTGATAAGAGATGCAATCGATTAAAGCTATCGATGGACGATTAAGCAGTTTAATTTTGGGGTGTGTGCGGCTCATGCGCAAAACACGTGCAAGCGGCTGTGAGTGACAGTGACAGGGCTGGATCTTTGGTGAAAATTATACACTAATGTACAAATTACACTTTTAATGTGATCCTAACTTTAAAAGTACATTAAAACAGAAACAATTTACATTTATTTTGTATTGAAATGTAGTAACTAAGTCATGTTTAATTATAATTTCCCCAGATATAATTGTTTCATACTGGGCTCTGCACTTTGACAGGGCTGCGGGACACGAGCAGGACAGGTCTATATATAGGCTTAGGCTATAATTCGTAATTTTATTCGTTTCTACGTTCGACTTAATAATTTGTGGGCACTGTCTATATTTCATTAATTTGTTCCCTAGAAAACCCATGATTTAACTAAAATAAGGGAATGAATTAAGTCATAGGAACGAATTCTTAATTCATGGCCATGAAATCTTTCATTTCCCCCCGCATATTTACCACAGTAAGAGATGCGAAAACAGTGATTAAAAGTAGGGCTGTGCGATATGACAATATATATCGGATGGACGAAATAAAAAGTCAATCGTTTCATATTATGCTCTATCGTTTATTTCGTGGTGTCACATAAATACATTGTTTATGGTAATACTTTTTCATCATTTGGATGACTGCGATCAAAGAACTTATACTGACAAGAAGTGAAAGCCAATAGAAGTCCGGCAGCAGCACTACGCTTCAGCCATTATGGAGTGAAAGCGACTCGGCAGTGCACTAGCTTCTTGCTGTCGCTATGGCAAATATCAGCAGCTTTGTTTAAAAAACCGTGCATTGAAGCTGAAATACAGCCTGAACGATGACAACAATAACGTTCAATCACTAGACTAGTGATCATCAAATCCTTTTAACAGTTTATTTTACAGACTTTATTTTAAAGTCTTACATTTTTTCACAAAACATTTTGCTCTCTAGAAACCATGTCAGTTTTGTTGAAAATATTTTAAGTTCAAGTGTTAGCATTATAAACACTGAATTAATACCAACATATAAATATTTAATTAATGACAGAAAAATTAGGAACGTTGGACAATAAATATATAACAGGAATATAACAGCTTGACAGTAAACTGTTTTTGCAGTATTGTCTTATATTAATGTCCGTTAAAGGAAGTAACAGACTTTTTTTTTTATGTAAAAAAAAACCCGACACGTACAGCCACTTTCTCCAAAATTGTTTAATTATTTAATTATTACAGAGACACAGCAATGCATCATGTTCTAATCTAGATCATCATGTTTGTAGTGTGTTCTAGGGGATTAAAACGTACAATATGTTTCAGACCTAGTGGAGTAATAGTAAATAATAATATAGTAAGTATTTGTAAATGTGTAAAGTTGCAATAAGCTCATTATAACTTAGAGTCATATCCATATAAATCATTATTATGGTTTCTATGGCTAGGACCTGCAGTTCCTAAAAGGATTTAAGTTTACTACTAGACTAAAAACAGTTAAAGGGGTCATATGATG